TTTGTCTGTTAATTAAATGCTGTAATTTATCTCTGGCTCGGAGTGTGCTTTGGTGTGGAACGAGGGGGGTCAGAACAGTTATCAAAGTAAAATGGGCCGTGGGAATGGTGTTTAAAAAGGATGATGACCTTGTTCCCAAAACAAGGGAAATGAATATCAAAGTGGAGGGCTGATGTGCAAGATTACAGATCCTGCATTTTCTCTATGTCCTCATACTCATCAGTCAATGCTCTGGAGCTACTGAGCATCTTCAGTATTCATCCTCAACCCAAAACATAATCGGAAACTCTTTGGTTCCCCAAGGTGAAAGAAACTGACTGGTCTTACAAGTGCAAGAAGAGTAGGCCGAGTCTGGAGGGGCGGTGTTAAGCAAGTCATCAGCCTAGAGTCATTACATTCCCATAAATGGACTAAGTTCAACCCTTCATGAATTCTGTTATCTCTTATCTACATAATTTAGTTACTGAACATTACTTGACTAGATTACTGTGTATAGGCATGAGCAATACATCAGCTTAATTGGAACTTAATTTATAGTCTTGATCCCGATCTTTCGTGCCTGACAACAAGTTTTGCTAAATCAGCAGAGAACTTCAAGGAGCACAGCCAGGAGGCTGTCATGAACATGAAGCTTGTTTATATCTTTTGGTAAAGATTGTATAGCTCCATATCATCTCCCTACAATGGCAAGGAGAAAATACCTGAACACTTGATTATTTAGAAATGGTTTATTCTCCACCAACTAGTGAGTTGGTTTGGAGGGTTTAGTAGCGACATATTTTCCTTTCTTCATTTTTAACCAGATGTCCACGAATGGAATTTTGAAATTGACGCTAAGCATGCGGCATACAAATATGATAAACACAGAACATGTGTTGAAACCCCAGCTTTACAAACAAAACAAAACAGAAACAATGGGCTTAATTTTTTCAAAAGCTGATTTCAAGACTCTACAGCCTGTGCTGGTTAACAGATTTTTCTTAGATGGCATCAAGCTTTCATAAGCTCAGATACATGGAGTTGCTGGACCGATTTTGGATTTAAATTGGACTGAGGATAGGGGTTGGGGAATGGAGGGGAGAACTGGTTGGTTGTGCAGATGCAGCTTATACATGAGACAAATTATAAGTATCAAATCAATTGTGGTATGTTAAAAACCTATTGTGTTTGGCTGAACCTTTTCAGCAGTCTCTCACTCAACTGTGCTGTTAAAGTTAAAATTATAGGGCTGGAAGGAACTGTTCTGACCTAGGCTTCCCCAAAAAGCATGAGGCAGGGTCCTGGTCCCGACAAAACCCCTTTTATTAAAGGAATGTGAATTCCTCTCATTCACATTCAGCAAAGGCCTGCCAAACAGTCTTTCAAAGGAATATTTAGGACTACAGACCTTATCTATCTTGAAA